GCCCGGCAGCTCTTTTGGGATTCGTTTTTGACTAAGAGCATAACAGCAGGAGAGGGGGATGGTGGTGGGAAATGTTCACTTCATTAATTCTGTCAGCAACTATCTTTTCTCTAACATTCTTTTGGCGCTAGAATTATTCATAAGGATGCCCAAACTGGCCACGTGCCTTCTGAATGAATGAATATACTCTGCATTGCATGAAAAAGCTTGTGAATGTCTAATTGAGTGCTTTAAAAGAGAGGCGGTTGTTGTATCTTGAACTAAATGAAAAGCGTAAATAATCGTGAGTGCCCTTACATTTTCAGGAGGCAATGAAATTACAACGTTTGGTCATTAGGTGTCTGTATGCCAGGAACCTGAACCACAGTCCGTGTTCCGGGCCTGTACGTGAGGAAAGCTTCCTGATTCAAGGGACCAGCCTCATTGTGCCCTAATGCATACTGGTGGTGTATATTAATGCATTTTTCTGTGGCTTCTGGGTATTTATTTGGTCAGAAGGGACCCATTCTCCCCCAGGATAGCATCTGACCCCTGCCAGCTTTTACAAGGGTTACAGTTAGTTTTGCACCACCTGGGCATACATATACAAATTGGAAACTCAACTGAGGATCATCTGACAAGTAGTTGACATTAGACACCAAAATGCTTTTTCACAAGTTATTTTCTCTTGGGATCGGTTTCCATTCGCTGGTAATCTGGGATCTACGCTTGCTTTCCTCCTGTGAGGCTGTTACCGCACTTTGCAACTTAAATCCTTTTTCTTTCTTAAAGAGTCAAAGTTAGAGAAAAATTGGTGAAAGAGGAAAGTGCTCGAAACAGCCCTGAACTCGCCTCAGAGTCCATAACTCAGAGGAGACACCAGCCAGCGCCAGTCCATTACCTGTCATTTCAGTCCGAGCACTCGGCCTTTGATAGGGTCCCCAGCAAGGCAGCAGGCTCTGCACGACGGCCAATCCGTGGCTATGTCCAACCCGCGGATACCGGTCACACCGCCAAGCTAGTGACGCCAGAAACCCCAGAAAATGTATCTGAGTGTAGCTGGGTAGCATCAGCCACCCAGAATGTCCCCAAACCTCCTACCTTGAAGGTTCTAGAAGGTGATGGAAGGGATAGCCCAGTTCTCCATATCTGTGAGTCAAAAGCAGAAGAAGAAGGAGGAGGAGAAGAAAAAGAAGAAGAAGATGTGCTCTTCACTGAAGCTCTCGAGCAAAGCAAGAAAACCTTACTGGCTTTGGAGGGTGACGGGCTTGTGAGAAGCCCAGAAGATCCCTCTAGAAATGAGGACTTTGGTAAGCCTGCTGTGAGCACAGTCACCTCAGAGCATCAGAAAGAACCGGAAAGCATGGCGCACCCCCCTCAAGCTCAGCACCAGCCCACTGAGAGGACAGGCAGGAGCGAGATGGTTCTCTACATTCAAAGTGAGCCTGTGTCCCAAGACGCCAAACCAACTGGTCACAACAAGGAAGCCTCGAAAAAGCGCAAGGTCCGTACCCGCTCTCTGTCAGATTTCACAGGCCCCCCTCAGCTCCAGGCCTTGAAGTATAAGGACCCAGCTTCCAGGAGAGAGCTGGAGCTGCCCAGCTCCAAGACTGAAGGGCCCTATGGGGAGCTCAGCATGCTGGACACAAAGGTCTCTGTCGCCCAGCTCCGAAGTGCGTTCCTGGCATCTGCCAACGCCTGCAGGAGACCTGAACTGTAGGTGATGCTTCACACACCCTCCAGCTGTGTCACTTGCACGTCCCTGGCAGAATGATTCACTCCTCGACCTGTGTTGTGTTCTGCATTGAATCATATTAGCTTAGCTCACAAGTGTGTGCAGGGCGACTATGTGGAAAATCGCTCAAAAACTACCACTCTGCTTCTGCCTACTAATGGGGAACTAGCGGATTGGGTCTCTGGAATGTCTCCTTCCTTACCTGCATGGTAGAGGCATGAAGAGGGGTTTGGCGGTGTCTGTGCCTTGACTCACGGAGATGCATAATCCTTTGCTGTCTTCTCTTTCTCTGTCTTCGTTTGCCTTCCTTATACTCTCTGCCCTTTGATTCTAAAAGCAAATCACGGGTGGAGAGGTCGGCCGAAGGACCTGGCTTGCCCACCAGTGTGGAACGGGAGAGAGGGCCCCGGAAACCAAGACGCTATTTTTCTCCTGGTGAAAGTAGAAAAACTTCCGAGAGATTTAGAACCCAACCTGTAACTTCAGCAGAACGAAAGGAATCAGATAGGTAGGCGTGTGTATGTGCCGTTTCCTAGTCCAGGAACATGGCAATGACACAGGAGTTTTACCACACTGATGGCCTTGATGCT